GACCCTGAGGTTCGCAGCCCGATTTGTAACCACTACGCTACCAGAGCTCCTTATACTAGATAGAGCTCTTCTTTTTCTTCACCTTTTTCTATACCTCCATTTCCTAATTCTCTCTCTTTTTAAAAGGAAACTTGAAATTATGGTTTTCTAAAAAGCCCTCATAAGTTTCAATTTTACCCGCCATAGATTGTTATACTTCATTCATCTCCCTGACCCTCTCTGCCTACTGTTTCCGCCTTGATAATCCTCATGCAGAGACGAACACATAGCAGCAGGCATCTGGTAGTCCTGAGATTTACTCCCAGATCCCCATCCTTCTGATCATCTGACTAGACCCATAACCTCACCTTTCTCTTTTACATAATGTTGTTGTTGCTAAGTGCCATCGAGTCGGTACTGACTCATAGTGAGTGACCCTATGCACAACAGAATGAAACACTGCCCGATTCTGGGCCAACCTCACAATTGTTGCCACGCTTGAGCCCATTGATGCTGCCACTTTGCCAAAACATCTTGCTGGGGGGTCTTCCTCTTTTTCTCTGACCCTCCACCTTACCAAACATGATGTCCTTCTACAGGGACTTGTCCCTCCTGACAATAGGTCTGAAGTATGAGAGACAAAGTTTGGCCATCCTGGCCTCCAAGGAGCACTCTGGCTGCACTTCTTCCAACACAGATCCGTTTGTTGTTTGGGCAGTCCATGGCACTTTCATTATTCTCCTCCAACACCATAACTCAAATGCATCAATTCTTCTATGGTCTTCCTTATTCACTGCCCAACTTCTACATGCATATGTTGTTGTTGTTAAGTGCCGTTGCGTCAGTTCTGACCCATAGTGACCCTGTATAGGGTTTCCGAGGAGCAATTGGTGAGCTTGAACCACCAACCTTGCCGTCTGACGCGTTAACCCACAGCACTACACCGGGACTCCTGCATGCATATGAGGTTGTTTAAAATACCATGGCTTGGGTCAGGCACACCTGTCCACCATGGGCAACCCTGCTGGTATTTAAAATACCCATGGCATAGCCTCCAGAATCACAGCAACATGCAAACCCCCACAGTATGACAAACTGACAAACAAGTGGTGGATTCACATAATGCTGCCCTAATAATAGCAATAACACTAAAAAAAAAAAAAAAAAAATTGCATCCATTAAAGTACTTATTTGGTATCTGGAACATAACCAGCAATGGAGTTCTGGTGGCACAGAGGTTAAGCAGTCAGCTGCTAATGGAAAGTTTGATGGTTCAGACACACCTAAGCGTCTCTTCTGGGTGATCTGATTCTGTAAACATCCAAGAGAACTCTATGGGAACGGTTCTGTGTAACATATGGGATCACTGTGTGTTAGAATGACCAGATAGCAACAAACAACATCCATGATTGTGCTGGTGTGCTGTGAAGTCGGGTCCGACTCATAGCGACCCTGTATAGGGGTTCTGGGAGTACTGGTGTGGTGCTATAGGATAAGCACTGGTCCACGAGCTTGGTTTGAACTGCAAGGTTGGCAATTCAAGCCCACCAGCTGCTCCTCAGAAACCTCTATGAGTTGGAATTGACTCGATGGCACTTAACAATACAATAAGGTTTCTGAGGCTATAAATCTTTATGGGAGCAGAAAGCCTCATCTTTCTCTGGAAGAACAGCTGGTGGGTATGAACTGCTGACCTTGCGGTTAGCGGCCTACAGCATAACTCATTATGCTACCAGGGATCCTTAACAACACCAGCAGCACTCAATAAATGAAAGCCAGGAGTCCTGGTATGGTGCTGTAGGATAAACACTGGACTGCTAACCACAAGGTCAGTGCTTCAAACCATCCAGCCGCTTCTTGGAAACCTATACAGGGTTGCTATGCATTGGAACCAAAGTGAAAATACTTAACAACAACAACAAATAAGTCCCTAGGAATCCCTAGTCACTTAACAACAACAACAGTAGTTGTGCAGATGGTGATACAATTGGTTGCTTAGCTACTATCAAAAGGTTAGGATTTAAATTCATCCTTTTAAGAAAAGACACGATCTACTTTATAAAAAGTCAAAGCCCTGGAAAATCCTATGGAGTGCAGTTCTACTCCAAAACACAAGGGGTCGCCATGAGTTGGCATTGACATCACGACAATGTTGTTGTTGTTAAGTGCTGTCAAGTCAGTTCTTACCCATAGTGACCCTGTATAGGGTTTCCAAGGAGTGGCTGCTGAGCTTGAACCGCTCACATTCCTGTTCAAATGACTTTGTAGTCCAGCGCATTAACCCACAGCACCACACCAGGACTCCAGTAAGTTTGATTTGATTTGTCTTATAGCATCACTGTTATGAGGTTAAGAGATGAGTCAGTTCCCACTCATGTTGCTGCTGTTAAGTACCGTCGACTAAGTTCTGACTCATAGTGACCCTGTACAGGGTTTCCAAGGAGCGGCTGGCGAGTTTGAACCACCAACCTTGTGGTACACTGCTTTTCCTACAGTGCCACACCAGGACTTCATAGTAACCCATAAAGGATTTCTGAGGAGCGGCTGGTGAGTTTGAAGCGCCAATTTTGCAGTTAGCAGTCCCATGCTTATCCTACAAAAACACACCAGAGTTTTGGGTTGAAAGATGTTGTTAAGTGTCGCCAAGTTGGTTCGGAATCATATTGATCCTCTATAGGGTTTCCGAGGTTTTACATCTTTGCCACAGCAGAAAGTCTCCTCTTTCTCCCTTGGAATGACTGGTGGGCTTGAACTGCCAACCTTGTGGTTGGCAGTCCAGTGCTCATGATACAGAGCCACTGTACCTCCCTGGTTAAGAGATCAAGTGTGATAAAAATGTTAAACATTATTTAGCAGTTGGTTTCATTCCTCAACTATCAAATATTTTAAGGACATATGTGGGGGGAACTACTTTAAGTGAAAAAATCCTTTTCCCAAAATCATTTGAGAAATGTCCTAACAGCGGGGAACTATTTCCAAGAAATGGGCTCCAGTGCCATTAACAAGTGAAGAGGGTCTGGGAGGTTTGGGGTCAGCCAATACCAATTGAGGGGATTTCCCATGGAGCCCCGCCCCCAGCTGAGTCACCAAATTGCCTGTGTTTAATCCTGCAAACCTCGCAGAGCTACAGAACCCTTACAACTCTGAAGATCAAGGAGTGACAAGTTCTCCACCAGCCGGGAGACCTCAAGGTTTGTCCACTTGGGAAGGGAAGGGGAAGGGTTAAGGGGTGGAGAGGAAGGAACTGAGAAGTAAGGATAGAACTTTTCCCTATTCTTTCTAATTTATAATAACTTCTATTCAATAGCCTATTCAATGAGGATCAAGAAGCTGACCCTGAAATAGTTTTGAATCCTCAGTTTTGGTGCCATATGAGCTTCACATCTCAAAATGAACAAATATGTGAATGTGTTTACAAAACATGATCATGAATTGGGCAGAAAGGTGTTTCAACATTGAGACCATTAGGTGCTGAACCGTTCCAACATGCTGCTTAGACTGGAGCTGAGCTCTCAGATAATACTGAGATTCTCTTTCTTGGGACTGTATTTCAGGGGCAGCAAGCAACTGGCTTTGTTGAAATCTGGTTCTAATGCTAAGTAGCTATGAAAGTTCCCAAAGTTTATGCTGTTGTTAACATCTGGATTCAGGTTGAACATATTGAAAGTGTTTTATTTATCTAGTGCAGCTATAACAGAAAAATCAGCAGTGGTGGCTTTAATAAACAGGAATGTATTTCTCAGTGTTGTTGTTAAGAGATGTTTCCAACACATAGCGACCCTGTATAGGGTTTCCAAGGTCTGGCAGGTGAGTTTGAGCTGCTATCTTTGTGGTTCAAACCAGTGCCACACTAGGACTCCTCTCTCAGTTTAGGGGTCTCTAAAACCCCAAACCCATTGCTCTCAACTCACAGCTAACCCTACAGGACAGACTTGGACCGTCCTAAAGTACTAGAAGTCTATGTTAGCCTCCAGCTCTAGAGAAAGTCCTTGTCGCTCTTCATTTTCCGTCTCTTGTCTCTTTGGTGATCTTTATTTGGAATGGCATCTATCTCCCATCCCCCACTCCACCATCTCTGCTTCTTGAATCTCTTCCTTTAATATCTCAGAGGAACCCTGGCATTGTAGTGAATTACAGGATGGGCTATTAACCACAGATCAGCAATTTGAATCTACCAGCTGCTCTGAGGGAGAAACATGAGGTTTTCTCCTCCCGTAAAGATTCACAGCCTCGGAAATGCTATACAGAGTCACTATGCGACGGTAGCATAGTGGTTACAAGTCAGGCTGCTAACCTCAAGGTCAGCAGTTCAAAACTACCAGCTGTTCTGCTGGAGAAAGATGAGGCTTTCTGCTCCCGTAAAGATTCCAGCCTCGGAAACCCTACAAGTAAGAACTGACTCCACGGCACATAACCACCATCACCATTCGTCAGAACAGACTTCACAGCACACAACCACCACCCCACCACCACTGTTGTTAAGTGCGTTGAATCGATTCTGACTCATTTTGGGGGGATACAATTCAATCCATAGCAGAAAGTGTACTCTGAAACTTTGACAAAACTATGTGTTTTGTCTTATGCTAGGTGGCACTGTGGGATAAGCACTGAACTACTAACTGCGAGGTTGGCAGTTCAAACCCACCAGCCATTCTGTGGGAGGAAGATGAGTCGTTTGTGCCCGTAAAGATTGATGGACTTGGAAACCCTAGACAGGTCTCAATGAGTGGGAATCCATTCATTGGCAGTACATTTGGTGGGTGTCTTAGCTGAGAAATTCTTATGCCTACCTATAGAGAAAATTCAGGCAAGCTTTCCCCATCATATTCCATTATGAATTCCTGAAAGACCCTGAGTTCTTGTCATGCGGGATCGTATAAAGTGTAAATAATTCTGGACTCCATCTCATTCTTTGAAATTTTGACTTTTGTAGAGTGACATTTGTGAAATCAGCTAATTTGATGATTAACAATTTATTTAGATTCTGCGTTGCTAGTATCACAGCCATACAGGATTTCATCATGGGGAATGGCTATTATAATATGGTGGTTGCAGTGGTCTTGGTGGTGAACTTGGAGAGGACAAGAACATTACAGGACTCCTGTGAGGACTGTCCAGCTGGTAAGAACCAAATTCACGTGTGTATTTGATCTGTCCTATTGAGAATATGGTTCAGTAAGTGTAGTCGTCAAGGCTAATGAGTGCCCTTTTCATTATCTTTTTTTCACTCATTTACAAATATCTACAGGTATTTATTAGTGATACATTTATATTTAGTTGTGTGAGCAGAGTCAAGCCACATAATTTCATCTGGGAAGTCATAAGGAACCTATCTCATAAGGCTCATAAGGAAGGTTCTTATGAAGGCCTTAGATCATTGTGTCCATGGCAAGACCTTAATACGGTCTGCATGCAGAGCTTGTGCTTCAACTGGGTATACTGCAGGGAATAAGCAGGAACCAGAGAACTTAACAGAGTGGACAAAGCTGAACAACTTTAACTCTTAGTACACCAATGATGGCATTGATCTGTTTCTGGATCTATCAATCCTTCTGTTCCATTCAGTAGATAAGGGAACAGTTTTTCTTTCTGTTGATTTATTTATTTTAATATGGGTGCGTTGTTATTCTAATTCTGTGACTATTTTCCAGACAATCTTGTAAATGTGCAATTTCAAAAAGTCAACCGACAAAACAAGGTCTATCATCATGCTACCTAGAAAGCTAATCATTCTTTTATATTTGAATTTTCTTACTTATTGTAAATGTTCATAATGCTTTGGCATTGTTATCCATGCACAGCTATTATCTGCCTTTCTTAGGTACTTACTGTGAGAACAAGAATCAGATTTGCATTCCTTGTCCTTCAAACACATTCTCCAGCACAGGTGGACAGATGGCCTGTAATTTTTGCCGGCGGTGTGAAGGTATGATCTATCATGGGCATTCTTCATCTATTGGAAAAACTTTGATTCCATATGGTCCTGACCTCTGGAATCCTGGGTGATGCAAATGATTAACACACTAAGCTGTTAACTGAAAGGTTGGAGATTTGAATCCATCTAGATATGTCTCAGAAGAAAGACCTGGTAATCTGCTTCCAAAAAAAGCAGCCACTGAAAACTCTATGGAGCACAGTTCTACTCTGATATACATGGAGTCCCCATGAGTTAGAATCGACTCAGTAACAACAGGTCAAAGTGTGATCCTGAACCTCTGTCAACAATCCAGTAAAACAATTGACCACAATGACAATTCTTTCGGGGGAGAGGGTTGAGTTTTTTAAATATTAAAGGAAATAGTAATCTGTCAAGAGAAAAATGTTTTTAATTAGCAAATATAAAAATGTCTTTTACAGAGATTGAAATGTAAATGTTACTAATAACATTGTAGTATGGATTTTATTGCTAAATTTTTCATCAAAGATCTGCTTCCTGAATTTGGGGATCAAGTATCATGTAACTTTGGGGGAACCTGTAGGTATTTTCAAGACCAGAAGAGCGTGCTCCCCAACCAGCAACTCAGAATGCAAGTGTGTTTCAGGATACCATTGTGTGGGGGTAGGATGCAGCAAGTGTCAAAAGGATTGTAAACAAGGTCAAGAATTAACAAAAAAAGGTAGGTTTCCTATTCTCCCATCTATAGTAAGCCTATTATCTAGACCTAGCTCATTGATTTTGGTCCTGATTCTTAGAATATAAAATTAAAAACAACAATAACAATAGAAACTATTGTAGAACCATAAAATTAAGTAATGAACCACTGAGCCAAGTATGTGAAAATTATAAAATTATTTTTCAATAAATGAAAGTAATTTGAAATCAGAACATCACCAGGGAGCAGGCATTTTTACACATGTGTGATGCACTATATACAATTGTACAACTTTAGCATACTTAGGGTTTCATTTCAATACGAATACTGAATGATGTGTGTATGTTGTACTAAATGAATATTATATTCGTTGTAGGAAAAGTGCTAAAATGATGGAAGCACTTCTTTTTTAATTACTGCTTTAATTTTTTTTTTTTGCAAGGTTGTAAAGACTGTTGCTTTGGAACATTCAGTGATCAGAAGCTTGGCATCTGTCGACCCTGGACAAAGTATGTATCCCATGGTTTCCTTTGGCTTAAACAACAACCTGCATCTTGCAGTGAGTCAGAACCGACGCAATGGCAGTGGGTTTTAGTACATGGTATTGGAAACCCTGTACAGGGTCGCTATGGGTCGGACCCGACTCAACGGCACTTAACAACAACAACAACAACATTTATCTTTTAGCAACTGACTTATTTTACACAGCATGAGGCTTTCATTTAGCTATGTTGCACCAGAAGTCTGCTATAGACAAACAACGGACTACTATTTAGCCATAAATGAAATATTTACGTTTATCCACATTGTTGATGAACATTTTGGTGGTTTCCACTTTTTGGAGTGCTGGTGGTTTGAACTACAAGATCGGTGGTTCAAATCCACCAGCTAGTTGTTCCTCAGAAACCCTATACAGGGTTGCTATGAGTTGAAGCTGACTCAATGGCACTTAGCAACAATTTTTGGCTAGAGTCCTGGGGTGGCACTGTAGGATAAGCACTGGATTGCTAACCACAAAGTTGGCAGGTCAAACCCACCAACTATTCCTTGGAAATCCTATACAGGGTCTCTATGAGTTGGAACTGATATGACAGCAAGTTTTTTTAAAGACAAGAGCTACTTTGAACTTTTTTGGAACCGACTCCACGGCACATAACAACAACAATGACACCAAGTGCTGACAAGGTTGATAGTTGTTAGCTGTCATCAAGTAGACTGACTCGTGGCAATCATATGTACAATAGAATGAAATGTTACCTGACCTGTGCCACACTCAGCACTCACTATACTGGGCAAGATTCTGCTGTATTCACAAGGCTTTCACTGGCTAATTTTGAGATGTAGATCTCCAGACCTTTCATCCTAGTCTTTTTAATCTGTAAGTGCCACTGAAACCTGTCCATTATGGGTGACCCTGCTGGTATTTGAAATGCTGGTGGCATAGCTTCCAGCATCACAGCAACACAGAAGCCACCACAGTACAGAAAACTGACAAACAGATGTTACTGCTGTTGTTAGGCGCCATGGAGTCAGTTCTGACTCATAGAGACCCTGTATAGGGTTTCCAAGGAGTGACTGGTGGTTTTGAACCACCTACCTTGTGGTTAACAGTTTAGTATTTATCCTACAGTGCTTACACCATGGACTCAGACAAATGGGTTGTTGTTAAGTACTGTGAAATTGGTTCCTACTCATAGCGACACTGTATAGGGTTTCCAAGGAGCAGCTGGTGGGTTTGAACCTCTGATCTTGTCGTTAGCAGTCAGATGCTTCTCCTATGGTTCCATGCAAGTACTGACATATAATAAAAATAGTAATAGGTAGTATTCTGGCATGGCACTCTAGGAGAAGCACCGAGCTGCTAATAGCAACATCGCTGATTCAAATCTACCAGTCGCTCTTCAGAAACCCTATACAGGGTGGTTGTGAGTCGAAACCAATTTGACATGTGGCACCATAGGATAAGCACACGACCTCAAAGTCAGTTTGAACAGCAAGATCAGTAGTTCAAACACACGAGCCACTCCTTGGAAACCTTATATAGAGTCACTATGAGTCAGAACCGACTTGACAGGCACACGACAACAACAGGAGGCAGTGTGGGAAGAGTGTGAGGTGATGGAAGTAGGTAGGTTTGTATGTTGCTGTTGTTGTTAGGTCATATGTGACATCACGTGACAGACTGCAACTGCCCTGTAGGGGTCTAGGCTGTCATTTTTTTTTTTCTTTTCTTGTTTCTTTCTTTTTGTTTGTTTGCTCTAGTCTGTCTTTTTTTTTTATTCTTTTCTTGTTTCTTTCTGTTTGTTTGTTCTAGGCTGTCATTTTTATGGGAGCACATTGTCAGTTCTTTTTCCCACAAAGCTACTGGGTGGCGGCTTTTAAACACCAACCTTTTTTGGTAAGCGGTCAAGCGCTTAATCGGTGCGTCACCAGGGCTCTTTTTACTACCTCTTGCTTTCCCTTATCAACCAGTTTGAACTCACAAGTCCAATGAAAGTACTGTGAATTGTACTTGTGTTTCCTATCCTAAAAAACAAACATGTACTTAGGCAAATTGGGTCACAACATGTAGTAAAACTTCAACAACCTAAGAACGAATGTTAGTGTTGACTTCTGTGATCCGATCTGGGCTACTCAGCATGTGTTCTGTGACAGAGCTGGCCAATGAATGCTGCATGCCCACTGCAAGAGGGATACAGACGTGGACAGTTGGCATTTAGACACCTTCACGGCAATTAACAGAGACATTTTTTCTCTGTTGACTCTAGTAATAAAAATATGGGCCTTGGGTTCTGTCTGTCTTTGTTTACTTTTCATTTGATTTTCCGTAACAAATTTTTATTATATTTTACAAAAGGACAGGTTCATAACAGATTGGGAAAGCATATAAATAGAATTAGATAGATATGTTTTAAAAGTTCTTCCAATATAAACAGTTCATAAAAGTTAAGCAAGCCTGCATGGAAAGGTGGGGGTCTGAACTGGGCTTTGGAGGGTAGAGGGGTTTAGATAAAGGGATAAGGAGAAAGATATAACAACAACAATAAAAATAGTAATGTTGTTGTTAGAAGGTCCCCAAGTGGTGCAAACAGTTTGTTCTCCACTACCAACCTAAAAGTTGGCAGTTCAAACCCACCCAGTAGCAACACAAAAGAAAAGCGGGTGATCTGCTTCCACAAAGGTTACAGCCAAGAAAACCCTATGGTGCTCCATTCTGTTCTGTAACACAACGGTTCACCATGAATCACAGTTGACCAAAGGCAATAGGGTTGGTTCTTTTAATTTTGGTTATTGTTGTTGTTGTTGTTAAGTGCCTTCGAGTCGGAGCCGACCCATAGCGACCCTGTACAGGGTTTCCGAGGGTGTAAATCTTTACGGGAGTAGAAAGCCTCATCTTTCTCCCGCGGAGCAGCTGGTAGTTTCGAACCACTGACCTTAAGGTTCGCAGCCCGATTCGTAACCACTACGCTACCAGAGCTCCATTTTGTTAGTTACCATCAAATCAGATGTTGTTGTTAAGTGCCATCGAGTCAGTTCCAACTCATAAAGACCCAGTATAGGGTTTCTGAGGAGCAACTGGTGAGTTTGAACCGCCAACCTCATGGTTGAAACCGACCTTGCGGTCCTGCCCCATTTATTGAAAGTATCACTACAACTTATTAATTTGTTCCTCACGACAGTCCTAGAAGCATGTGCAGTCCTTGTTTTGCAGATGAAGAAACTGAGTCTTAGAGAGATTTCATAATTCACTCAACATTGCTCTGCTAAGGGGGTGAGCTAAGGCTCAAACTTCAATCTGTCTGTCTGTCTGGAATGCCTAACCCTGTGTGTCAAAGATGTCCAAATACGGTTAAGAAGTTGAGGGTAAGAGCCAAACCAGGTGGAACTTCCTGTCCTCAATTTAAGACCGTAGGTAGCCTGGTACGGCTCCTAGCCTGGGAAGGAAGAAGAATCCAGTGGGTAGAGTAGGAAGGACTATGGAGAATCTAGAAACCTGTGTGGAAGGTGCAAGAAGCCAGACAGTTGAGTGGAAATTAATCAAGACATTCTCACACTACCTCTGGGCCCATCCCACATATCTTTACCACTCGTCAGCTTTGTTGGGTGAAAAATGTCAAATGTTTTAAAATTAGAATGATCTGTACCTGAGCTAATTATTTGAACTCTTTTCATTGAACTATTCCAGCTGTTCCTTGGATGGAAAGTCTGTACTTGTGAATGGGACAAAGGAAAGAGACGTGGTGTGTGGATCACCTTTGGTTGACTTATCTCCGGGAACATCCTTGGTCACGGTTTCCATTCCCGAGAGAAAGCCAGGTAGCTGGTTTGTTGCTGTTACATCGAAGGGAATGTGTATCGGCTATTCCAGTTGGTGTCTAAACAACCTGGTTATCTTGTTGCCCCATATCTGCCGACAAAGGCACCTTTGACATACCTTCTTTCTTTCACCCTGGCTTCATTGCAGCCAACAGTTCTTTCTCAGATATTTGCCATCATCTCAGTCAGATGCAAGCAGGGTGAGACTTGACCCAATCAGGAACTAGCCCTTTGTTCAATGCCAAGTAAAGGGGATAAAAGAACCATTGACAGAGATCTGGTAACTGCCCCTGACCTCCAGCAGAGTGACCCCCACAACCTTTATTCCTCTGGGCAAATATTCTGAAATATTCCCAGGCAAGAGAGACTTTTATCTCCTGTCATGTTTTCTATATATTAGACCAGACCAGTTCCTAGTGAGTCAAGTCCAACTCAAGACAATCCCATGTGTATCAGAGCAAAACTGTACTCAACAGGTTTCCCATGGCTAGTTTTTCAGAAGTAGATCACCAGGCCTTTCTTCGAAGTCACCTCTGGGTGAATACAAACTTCCAACCTTTTGGTTAGTAACCAAACACATTAATTGTTGGCACCACCTAAGGCCTACTTCTGGAATCTAGTTAGAACCAACTTCATGGCAACTGGTTCTATATGTTAGAAAGGCCAAACTAGTCTGGGGAAATTGCTGAAGGTTTTTTGTTTGTTTGTTTGTTTTTTAAGTTTTCTGAACATGCAGGTAGTTCGGCAGGTTGGAAATGGCAAGTTACTACTTCCCCTTGTGCAGAGGAGTTTACAAATATAAATAAATAGGTGAATAAATTAGATTTCTTTGTATAACCATAAGTATATTTTCATATGTATGTATTTTTATATATATTCACATTTCTACATGCCTTTCTCCCGCTCTTGTTTTCAAGGTCATCATTCACAGATTGTCAATGTCTTTCTTGCGCTAACATCAGCTGCTGTGGTGTTCCTGGTGTTTTTCCTGGTGTCCCAAATCTCTGTTGCTAAGCGGGGCAGAAAGAAACTCCTGTATATACTCAAGCAACGTAAGACTAACCTAAAAGCATTAGCTATGCACTCTCATGAGCAAAAGCTTTTTACAATAGAAAAGAAAAGCTAATTTTTATTTTAAACTGCTGAAACTGGATTAGCACAGCACAGTGGTTAAAGAACAGGTGCAATCTGGCAAAACATTGGACTGCTAACCACAAGGTTGTTGTTGTTGTTAAGTGCTGTCAAGTCGGTTCTGACCCATAGCAACCCACAAGGTTAGCAGTTGAAATTCACAAGCTGCTCCACAAGAAAAAGATGAGGTTATCTGCTCCTGTAGGGATTGGCAGCCTTGGAAATCATAAGGAGCAATTCTATTCGTAGACAGAGTCACTATGGGTTAAAATCAACTCAATGGCAGTGGGTGGGGTTTGAAGACATTTCTGGATCTCACAACTAGATGAAGCCTGCTGCCGTCTAGTGGGTGGAGGTCAGGGATGCTGCGAAACACTCTGTAACACACAGAACAGTCCAATACAACAAATACTTTTTCAGTCCCAAAATGTCAATAGTACCAAGGTTAAGAAATCCTGGCTATTGCAGAACACATCCTGAACACATTGCAGAACACATTCTAGAAAAATGACAAGTTAAGTAGCTGCAGCTTTGCGTGCTTGTTATAAAATTTTTTTTAAAATTGTAAATTGAGTGAAGGTTTAGAGTAGATCATCAGTTTTACATTCAACAATTCGTACACATTTTGTTTCACCACATTGATTACAATCCCTTGACTGTAATGTCACTCACTTATCTCTCTTCCTCTCTGTGTTTCCCGTTTCCATTCCTCCTTCTTTCCCAACCCTTCTGAACTTGGTCCTTAGGTAAATACTGTCCTTTTGATCTCCACTGGTTGATTATTCTAAGGTGTGTATACATCACTAGTGTTATTGTTCCTCTTATAAACCTGTCGATTGTTCAGCTGAAACTGAAGCACAGGGATGAGTTCAGTTCCAAACCTGAAGGGTGACTAAAGACCATAGTGTCACTGTACGACCAGTTACTCTATGACCAGTAATCCTGGTCTCTTTTATGATTTTGAATTGTTTTTTATTTTGGTGTCCCCAAGACTATAATTCTGAGCCCAGCAACTCATTCCCTTAAAGTGTTGTGTAATGTCTAAGAATTTGTCACAGTTTTACCTCCTGTACACTCCTCCACATTCATGAATGCATTTACAACAAAAGTAAATACTCTTGTACAAATATCCTTTGTCAAACCTATATACGTTTATGAGTATACTTCCACCCTCCCTCCCATACCTATTCAGCCTACTTGTCTATCCAATTGTATATTGCCTTCCCCTTTATCCAAGTAACACATGTATTAATTTATTCTCAAGTTTAAAACAGTCTACTCTACTTTGAAATCGACTTTATTCCTCCATCTGGAAGGTCTTTAACCACACAATTCCCTCTTTTTGCTTTGTAATTGCTTTTGTATTCTGGTCACTTGTTTGAGATACTCTGTCTTCTTTCTTCAAGGGAACTGAGATGGCCTGTTTTCTCCAAGCCATTATGGCATTGTTGTGTTTGTATTTAATTGATGACTGTATGTTGTTGTGTTCTTAGGTTCTCATCATCTGTCTGCTGGTGGCAGTGATGGTGTGTTAGAAAATGTGAGTGTGTGCACAGTTTTTTGCTCACTATGTGTGTAGACAGTTGAGGGCAAATTTGGTTCCTGTTGGCTACTATCTATCTATGATCAGGTCGTATTGAAGTAGATAGTGACCCTTGCCCAGAAAGTGCTGCTGAAAAAAGGTGTCAGTGTGATTGGGATGGATAGGCACAGTTACTGTCTCCCATTGAGTGGGACATAGAAAGCAAATAAAACAATAGCAAAAAAATAAAATAAATACATAAAACCCAAGCGGTAGGGAAAGTAAGCAAAAAACAGCAAGAAAAAAAGAATGTGATATCCTGAAGAAAAAAAAAAAAAGCCAAGCAAAATAAAAAATAAAGGAAGAGATAAAACAAAAAAGGAAAAAGAAAGAAAAATATATAATAAGTAAAACTAGGAATGGGGGGGGGGAGAAAAGAGAAAGAATAGCAAATAAAAAGACTAAGAGAAAAGATTTTAAAAAACAAGTAAAGGGAAAAAAGAACAGAGAAACAGAAGAAAAGAGAAAAGCAGAGAAAGAAAGGATGAAAAAAAACAAGGGAAGGGGAAGAGATAAAGCAAAAAGGGAAAAATAAAGAAAAAAATATAATAAGTAAAACTAAGCAGGGGAGGAAGAAAAGAGAAAGAGTAAAAGATTTAGATAAAAGAAAACCAGAAAAAATTAAAGGGGAAAAAGAATAGAGAAACAGAAGAAAAGAGAAGAACAAAGAAAGAAAGGATAAAAAACAAGGGAAGGGAAAGAAAAGAAAAACAAAGTAAGAAAAAAAGAAAGGAGAAACATGGGGTAAGGGCAGAACCCAGAGAAGAGAGAACTGGGGGTGGGAGCAGTAGCAGGGCACCCGGTGTGGGCTGGCACCCTCTACCAGCCAAGGAGCTCCTAGGGTGTGGGGTTGTGAGGTTGTGGGGTGAGGAGGTTGGATGCTTGGTTTTAGATGGAGTTCCTAGATGGGGGCCAGGGCAGCTTGTTCTTTGCCTTCATGGAAGATAGGCTAGACTTAAGTGGAATTCATATATAGAATGAGCTTTCCAGAATAAGACTGATGAATGTCTAATGTAGACATTGCTAAAATAGGAGGGGGGCTTGGAAAAGTTCATGGAAAAATTCCATTTTCTTTTAAGTCTATCTTTCCACAAACTTTTTCAAGACCCCTCATATGTGGGATAGCATTAACAAAGTCTTCTTACTTGAAAATAACACCTACAGAAGCACATACATGTAAAGCTTACCCAATTGTTGTATAATTAGCATCTGCATGATCCTGCCTTATTGCTGTTGGTTGTTGTCAAGTCAGGAAAGAGAACTTGCTCTGCCCCCTAAAAGCCCTTCATGTGCCCCTTCCGGATTACAATCCCTCCTTCCCACTAGGACAAATCACATCCAGATGCTGTGGGCTTCACTTCCTTGATCTTCTTTACAGTTTTGCTACCTAACAACATAGTTTAATGTCTGTTGTGAATTTTATATAAGTGGAATTATGCATTTTTCTGTTATCTTTCTTCTTTTGTTCAACATTGCATCTTTAAGATTCATGTACTGCTTATCTTTAGTTGATTTTCATCACAGTATAATTCTATTGTGCACCACAGTTTATTTATCTGTTCTATTAATTACAGATATTTGGTTGTTTCTAGCTTGGATTCATTACAGAAAATGGTTTAGGAATATTCTGTCCATGTATCTCAGCACATGTAAGCACATGTTTCTGTTTTGTTTCATTTTTCCTGTCTAGGAAAAACATTGTTGGGACTTAAGGAATGTATATCTTGGTCCTTTATAAATATACCAAAGTATTTTCCTAAAACGGTTGAACTCCTTTACAATTTCCCCAGGAACATATGAATTTCTTTTGTTCCACATCCCTGCTAAAATTTGATAAGACTTTTAGTTTGTTTTTTTTTTTTTATCTGTCTGGTGGGTGAATCGTGGTATCTCCTTGTGGATTTAATTTGCATTTCTTTGACTCTAGTGAGAGTGAACATCTTTTTTTTTTTTTCAATGTTTTATTGTGAATTAGTGATAGTTTACATGGGAGAACATTAATTTTACATTCATCCTATTGTATATTGTTTCGTTGCCATGGTTACAATCCCCTCCATACATCATCAATCAACCAAAGGATATACCCTGCAAGCCTGTCCCTCTCCCCCCCAGGTCAGTCTTCAGCAAACAGCCCCTCCCCTTCTCTGAGTCTAGAGTTCCCAGCCGCTCCATCTCGCCACGTCATCGTCTCTGCCTCCATTTCGGATGTCACTGATTCTCTGGGTAAGGTCCCACACTCTGCTCTTCTCCCTTGACTGTCCCATGGACCTCCACTCCTGGACTGCAAAGTCTATCACTCCCCTCCTTTTACTACAAAACATATACCTTTACAGTTCCAACCCTCACAGTCAGTCCTGATAACAATTATTCACTATTGTATCACAAGAGACCTATCCTCATCTCCTTTCATCAGCCCCGCCCAGACAGATTGGATACTACTCAGTGAAGATTCTACCTTACTCCACACCCTCTGGATCTAGGCTCCCTCTTGAAAGCTTGTAAGCTAGTCATTTCCTGTCTTTGTAGCCCTCCATTTTGGGTAGCCAATGTCCAACTTTCCCATCCCTGTCTACCCTGTGTATGGAGGGTGTGGGAATGATCCTTGCTGTAAAGACTTGTTCCCTCTTTTGAGCTACTGCATCTGTACAGGGTCGCTATGGGTCAGAACCGACTCCACCACACATCACCACCACGATCCATAGGCATAGGTCAAGTTCATCAAATTGTATCAGATTACTTTTATTTTCCTCTTCTAGTTGAGCTCTGATCATCCAGTCATTGAAGCCAAGTCAAGTGGATATTATCTGCATATGGGTGTTCTTGTGCAGATGCCCTCTCTTTATCAGCTGGATGCTTCACTCTCCACTCTAGTCCTCTGTTGGTATGTCACTGACTCTGGGCCCAAAAGTCCCCAGGTCTGGCCACACTGCTAGCCAATCAGGTCTCCACCTGGGTTCACAGGAGTCTATTGAATATTGTAGGGCTTAGCTCGCAGCTTAATTGCTGTTTTTCCCTCACTTCCCCTTATCGGTGACCAATGTGGTCACCAGTCAGAGCGCATGTCTGCTCGTGTATTCCCACTGAGTCTTAGACTTGAAAGGGGGTTTGCCCTGAAGAGACCCAATCACTTGCCTTGATGTCTCCTGGGCGAGCAACTTGCCTGTTCTTATAGTAATCAGTCCAACTGCCTTTATTGTTTTGTATTTTTCCTGTTAGTCTTCCTTTCAAGAAGTATCTTCTGTTCTTCTAGCCGCTCCAGGCTGGTCTGCTTGTCCTTTCAAGTGGAAATTTCCCACCTCAGAAGATTCTGGATGCTCTTCAGGATTCCACATATGGTCT